CTAGCACTGGAAGCCATGGCAGTGGCAAACAGTCAGTCAGACATAAGGAGTTAAGAACATTGCTCGTGAATTCGGAATCGGGTTTCTTGAGGAGACCCATAGGATGCACCCACCAAAACCGTCCAAAGGACTGAGCATCAAGTGACCGGAAGTGGTCGTGAGGCAAACATGCACATTTCGATGGAGAAAGATACAGTAGTTTGGCCGTTCCCAGTCGATAAATTCCATTATAAATGTTAAGAACATTGCTCGTGAATTCGGAATGCCAACAGGAGTGGCGAGATTGAAAAGCAGTCCAACTTTGTTGGCAGAACATGGCAGAACTGGCTAGCTCCCGAGGACTACCTGGGCTGAAGGGAGTGACCGGGCGGAACGTTTGGAGGTCAACACTAACTAGCAGTCCATACATACCCCAAGCAATAGAATTCTCCAGAACTGCAGCCAGCTACACTTGCTTTGTTACGTGAACATCCCATGTCGCGAACAATTCCGGAGTGCACAACAACTAAATACCGCCAATCAAGAGTCATCCTCAAACGATTCAATTAGACACAATGATAAACACATGATGTCCCCCGAAGTGATCCCTTTTCCATCCTCTTCCGAAGCACCGACTGTACTCCGAACCATCAGGTGCGTCCCTTCGGTCCCGTGTCGGCTCCGATCCGGTCTCTCCGTGGCTCCAGTTCAAGGAGTCCAAGACCACCCGGACATCCATGGGGTTCTTCTTCACTCGCCTCGCGCAAAGAGGTGAGTTGAGAGCCAAGGAAGTGGTCCCTTGGAAAACAAGAAACCCATTGAGCAGACCTGACCAAAGCCACAGGTTTAAAAAAATACGTGCAACGTGTGGGAAAACCGTACAATGCAGCCACCCGAGCTGGAAGGACACAACACTTGCGACCAGTCCATAGAAAAGCGGTGAATCACAATCGATGTCATTCGTCAAATCGAGTTTGGGGTGCGCAATGGTCGTGGGCCAGGTGTGCGAACCTTGAATGACATATTGCTC